TTGTCAACCTCTCCACAATGTGCCTATGAGGGTTTATTTCATCTGATAAAAATAGTCCAAAGCCCCAACAGACATGAAGCATATTATCGCTATGTCTGAAAGTAACTACAATTTCAGACAAAGGCTTAAATAAGCCTCTTATTTAAAAATAACTTTGAAGATAAAGGCATGTTCTGATGCTAACAAAATCAATTACAGCTCACGGTGACATAATTAAACAAGAACAGTCAAATTCAAACTGATAATGTGGTCAAAGATTATACAATTTAATTTAAATTTAATCTGGCTCAGTAATTCTATCATATGAGCAAATAGAAATGGGAAATTATAATAAAGGCTGAAATCATAAACAATTGGCTAATTTACATAATAATAACTACACATATTTTTGAAGAATAATTTTCTTTATGTATTCAGTTTCTTTCTTCAAAACATTTCTTTTTCATTTTAGAATTTTTGGATTTAATTAAGGATTTCTGTTATTCTAAAAAACACTAAATGTATTTAGAATGTACAGAAAAAGCAGCTAATTTTATTTCTTTAGTAATATGAACATTCAGAAGAAATATGAAATATATATGGTAAAGGGCAGTTTCAGAGCTGATGTGGCAGATTTTTTTAGAATTTAGTGACACACCGAACAACAAAATCTAGAAATGGCAAAACTTTTCGAATTTAGAGCAGGCATTGGAAGCAGAATTTAGAAAGGTACTAGGCAGCAGAATTTAGGATCCACAGAGATTGCATGTTAAGATTCTCGTATCAGAAGTAAAACATTTAAATATTACGTTTTCATTGTTCTTCCATACGTTCTCCAAAAAGTAAGAAATTCATTGCAAACTTTCTGTAAAGTACATCCATTATATGTTAATACAATGAAGACATTTCCCTTTTGTGAATTTTTTCTGGAGCCTTCCATAATTGTGAGTCTGTAAATCTTGCCTTCAAATCTTTTGCAACACATTGCAACATTTTGCAAAAGTTGCAATCTGTACAATCCTAAAGAAAAATTAGCCCTACCAATTCTCCAAGAGAAAAAGGGCTAGAAATATATTGGAAAAAAAAAGCAATGAAAAAAGTGTAAAATTCATTTTATACAGAAAACTGATACATACTCTGACAATTCTGAATATTCTGAGACAATTACATGGGAAAAATTCTTCCCATGAAAAAATTAAAAAGAAGAAATTTTTAATTAATTATATAGCTATTTTGTTCTTGCTATGAATTGTTTTATAAACTGTGCTTTATACCATTTATTACCTTTTTTTTTCTTTTTCATATTCAAAGTACTATATAATAAGCCGCCAAAATGGAAAGTAATGCCACTTTATGATATAACAGCAAAAGAAAATAAAAATATTTTATTTTACTGTTACTCCTTAAATGTAATTTAACTATATTACCATTATCTTAGTTAGTTACATGGGAAAAACTCTTATTATGAAAAAATTAAAAAGAAGACATTTTAAACTAATTACATACCTAATTTTGCTTTTGCTAAGAGCTGTTTTATAGCATTATACCTTGTTTATTTTTCAGATTCAAAATATTGTACAATAAGTTGCCAAAATGAAACTTTATAATATGACAGCGAAAAATAACAATGTTTTATTTAAATTTTATTTTTTAAATATAATTTCAATATATCACCATTATTTTAATGAAGTTTATCAATGTTACGATGTTTTAAAAAAATCGTGGAAAAATTCTCAGATCTCGGAATTAAAGTTTCTATAGAAACTGATCTTAAAATCGCCAAAATGCTGAAAAGTCACCAAATTTAGAACCGTTTAATAGAAGAATTCACATCCCTAAAAGAGAAAAGTTGTTTAAGAGCTCTTTATTAGAAAAAATGAATTTTGAAATGCTTATGTTTCACTTCTTGCTTAGAAACTTGAGTATCCCCATCATTTATATTAGAAATCGAAACAAATTATAACTCATGAACCCATTCAAAAGATAGCCATATATATGTCAGTGAATCGCCAAATATTCCTCCAAAATGGCAGTCGTAAAAACAGCAGAAATTTCAGATGATTAAAATTAAGGACCTTCTGCTGATTTTGGCCAAAATTAAGGACTTTTAAGGACCAAAAATGGATTCCAAAAAATCTAAGGACTTTTAAGGACTCTTAAGGACCGTACGAACCTTGTATTAGAATTTTAGTTGCTGTTAATTGACCTTTGATTTTCCTTAGCTGACTGCTTCTAATTGATTTATCATTTTCACAAGGAAGTATGTTTAGTAAGATAAATATTTGTTTTCCCCATGATTTAGAGCAAAAGAGTACGAAAGCTATAACTGATTGGTGTATGAACGAAGGTTTAATTAGCTCTTGCTATGAATGTCAAGTTTTTATGAGAGATTGTGTCCGGTCGAACTTGAGGATCAACTGGATTGCTATGAGTGGGTTTATAGGAAGAAAGACGTTTGGAACTGGCACTCATACCAACACCACTGAGGGCATGTGGAGCACAGGTTTTTGCAACCTGGGTCTTTGGCAGTCATCAGATGACAATTTGTATTCCTACTTTTGCAGAGGTTACTGGTGTCATCAATACCAGGATCAGGAGAAGGAGGATTAATTCCGGGACTACACGATTTGCATTATGTATGTGCCACAGCCATCAAACATTGACGATGAGATGTAACCAAGAATACACAAGCTGAGCACTTTAGTTGCTTTTGTAACAAACATTTTTAGCATTGTTTTGAAAAACGGCCATCTTGGAAACATTGCTTTTCGTCACCATTCTTGGTGTCATGAAAACTGCCAAAAATATCAAGGGTATCCTATTGTAAACTTTTACCAATTCAATAACATGTTGCCACATTAATTTTGCAAATATGCAGATTATAATCATTGATAAAAAACAGTATTTTTATTTCCTAAAAACTGAATAAACATAATGCTTGTGATGTACCTATTTTATTCTTCCATAATAAGAAATTATGATACCCTCACTATATGCATTGAAACTGAACTGAGTTAACTTTCTATTAGGTTTTTATGTATATCATATTTCTCTTTCTTTTGGTGTATGTGAGTGATTTTATTATTGATGAAAATTATTACTAGTTCTTTAGTTTAATACTTAGAAACATTAAAAAAAAAAAAAAAAAAAAAAATTCATCATTTAAATTTACAGAAATAAATCTGTCTTCAATTTTACATGCATAATCTTTGTCGGAAGAAGAAAAAGCCAGATAAATGAAAATAAATTCTTTTGCTTGCTTTATAGTATATATCTATATATATATATATTATATAATCAATTAATCAATATTGTTTAGGAAATAAATTATATATATATATATATATATATATATATATACATACATATATTCAACCTATAGAAAAAAAAAGCAATTCAACTACTTGAATTTTTAAATACCTAGAAACTTAGATAATTGAAATTCTGATGTATTTCTCTTTACAAAAAGTTTTTTTTTAATTTATGTTTTAACAAATATCAGTATGTGCATTACAAAAATTTATTCATACACTCGAATGTTAGTTCTCTAATTAAGCTCTACTGACTGGAAATTCTAGCTTAACTTAACCCTAGCCTATTCCAGATTTATTTTCAGAAAATTTACAAAACATTCAGTTCATATAAACTGATTCAACTTATAAAAGGATCAACTTTGAAATCTGCAAGTGCTAGATTTTACTTAAAATTATAATATAGCATGAAAATATGAGATATCAATATATCGGGTTTTAACGACAGTTTCCCGCCACCACAAATAGTTCATGTTGGATTGTTTAATCATAGTTTGTCAAACAATTTTTGGCATTTGAAAGAAAGAGACTTGCTTTAGAACACTGTGTTGTGAAATTTGTAAAAAAAAATATCATTATAATTAAGCATAAGGTGTCTGAAATGGAACCATCATGCTACCAGTTTAGAACCGCCATTAACTTTCAGATCTGTTGAAAAATGTCACCAAATCATGCATACAGCTTTAGGTACTAATGTTGTATCATATGACACCGTGAAGGTCTAGTACCGAAAGTTCAAAAACAAGGACTATGACATTCAAGAAGCAAAACGGCCGGCCTACTGAGACTATTGATGAAGGTCACCTGCGAGAATTTGCAGAAGATTGGTATGCAACCACTCAAGAGCTTGCTAAAGAGTTAGATGATAGTGCGTCCATTAGTCATGCTATGCATCACATAAACTTGACACACAAGTTCAATCACTGGGTGTCACATAAGCTGACTCAAGCAAATAAGGACAGGCATTTTAAGGTCTGCACTAATCTGTTTGAATATCAACCCAAGGACAAAATTCTCTACTGGATTGTCATTTGTGATGAAAAATGGATTTACTTCAACGACACCACCCCAAAAAGGTGGTTGGTTGCTCTGTGACAGGTGAGCTTACTAGCAGCTTTGAAAAGCGCAATTTGACTAACAAAAAGATCATGCTTTGTATCTGGTGGGATTGCCGTGGTATTATCCACAAAGTGTATCTGGAAAAGGTAAAACCATCAACAGTATGGTGTACAGAAGATGCTATTCTGTCTTGATGCTTTCATCAAAGAAAAACATTGAAGAATTCTGGAGCAAAAAGGTAATGTTGCATCAAGATAATGCAAGACCACATGTGTCTGCATTCACCAGTTGAACTCTGTATGGGCTCGAATGGGAACTTTTGCCACATCCACCATATAATCCCAACATTGCTCTCTCGAACTGCTACCTTTTTCACACTTGCAGGTAGATCTTGCTGGTGCTATCTGCCATTCTACACAGGGTGTCTATCTGTTTTTAGGCTTATGACCACCAAGTTTCTGGGTTGAAGGCTTTGAAAAACTACCAAAACGTTGGCAGAAAATCATAGATTTGAGTGGTGATTACTACCTGCACTATAGGTGCTGCTTTCATGTTTTTATTAACTTTATTAAGAGCATTTTTCGGTGGAAAACTTTCGTTACAACCAGATAAATCAAAATAAAAATAATAATAAAAAGTGCTAAAATTTACCTCCTGTGTTCATACTAACTGATTTCTCTAAGGCACTGTTAGGTATGCCAATACTAATCACTGGGTTATCACATTTTTCAGGTTTGTCATTTGTAAAAGATAAATTTTCAAAAAGCGATGACTTATCTTTCTGAAAACAAGGAACTCCACTTTTCAGATGAGCTAAAAATATATTATAAGAAATAATTTAAAAATAAAATAAATACACAGTTAGTCGAAAGATTTTGAAATGACAACTGGAGTAATATTGTAGGGATGAAAAATTTTTCATATCATATTAGAAAAAGAAGGAAACCAATACAGATAGAATATGCTTCTTTTCAGCATTAAAATTATTTTTTAACATCTTCAAATTTATTTTTTTTCTTCAAAATATATTTTTACACTAACTACAACTTTTTTGATTGATGAATTAAAAATAAATTCTATTCATTGAACTGAAGCGAAGTAATACTTCATTTGTACTTAATTTTTTTACATTTTTCATTTTGAAGATCCTTTTTTGTTTTATTGCCCAGGTGGTGTTGGATACAGATGTTTACTCCTTTTGCAAATTATTCATTTCACTACACCATATTTAATATTACATTAGAATTCTTTTCTAATTGATTTTATTATTGTTGATCAGTTTTAGATTTGTGGTAATCCTATCTCATTACTTGGTACATGTTGGACTTAACAATAGTCATTTGATATGGGGCAGGTTGAATTGATGTTTTTTTATTTCAAGACTTGTAGCTCTGCTGTTACAGATTTTAGGAACTAGCTCTTCTTATTTTTTTTTGGATCAAATTTTCATTTGCTATTATTTTTTCATATGTTAGATTGCTTCTGTTTACATTTTTTGCTTTTGTTTTTTAACTCAGCCTTCATGGAAAATTATTTTTTATTGGCTTCGGGGCCTTTTCACTTGTTTATGATTTTGATGCTATTGTTCTGAGAAAATTTTTTTACTCCTGCCGCTGTGGTTCCAAATTATTATTTTTTCATGTGCTGGATTGCTTATATTTACATGTTTATTTTTTGGCTTGGTCTGCTAAGAATAAAAAATAATGATAATAATAATAAAAAAAAAGGGAGTTGGGCTAATAAAGATACATATTATTTTGATTAATTTTTTTAGATTATTTTAAGTATTAAACTTTAAACTCTTGCTGTGACGCCCAAATTTAGTTCGATTATGGAATGGTCGACCAAGAAAAATTGGTGCTTCAGTTCCGTGAAACCCAAACTCTATTCGTCCAATGGCTAATATGTAATTTACCATTTTCTCAATATACGGGCCTGGAATTTACAAATATACGGGCAATCAGGAAAGACTTACCAATCAGTAAAAAATAAAATAAAATAAAAAAAAAAAAAAAAAGAAAGAAAGAGAAGTGATGTTCTGAATTTTCCAGCTTGGGTCCTGGTCACAATCTTGAAATGGCATGACAAGGAAATTACATAATTTTCTTCCATCTATACTTCAAAAATGATTGAGATAAAAGTTTGGAAGAAGCAATAGAAACTGAAACCTAAAAGTAGTTGCTGACTATAACAACACTATGGGAGGTGTTGATAAAGTTGAACAACACCTTACAGACTATTCCATTGCCAGAAAACGTGGAAAGAAATACTACGTAAATATATTTTCCCACCTTCTGGATCAAGCACTTTGGAATTCCTTTATTATTTATCAGTTGTAAAGTGGTGCAAAATGTAATATGGACTACAGAATCTCAATTGTGGAACAAATAATTGAAGATAATAAGCCATATATTCAGCTGACAGGACCAGGGTATCCTAATATGAAATTGTTGCGATTTATGGGTAGACACTTTCCTGAACATATTCCACCAATGAAGAAAAAGACTACTCCAACCAGACAATGTTTCCTTTATTGTCATAAAACTGATGAAAAATGAGAGAGGATATGACGTGAGACTCGAGTTTATTGTAAAGACTGTGATGTAGGCTTGTGTGGCATGCCATGTTTCCATATGTAGCATACAGTAAAGGATTTGTGAAATTCAAAGGAATTTGAGGGACATGGAATTCATGATGGTTGATATAAATAATAATATTGTTGTATTAGTCTACTATATTTATCTTGAAAATTATGTTATTTGATTTATTTTACTATAATTTGAGCAAAAATTACTGTAATCCATTAACATTTCTCATATATGTGAAAATATTGGATATATTAGTTATTTTATAAAATATTAGATACATTATTATTAAAAATTTTTAAAAAAAAATTATCTATATCTAACATTTTGATGATAATAACGAACAAAATTAATGAGGAAAAAATATTTCCATTTTTGGCATGTTTTTCTCAAATATATTTCACAGGCAAGGGGTTAATTTGCATCTTTGTTGTTCAGAAACAAGCTGATGTATTTACTTCTGATGATGATCCAGCGAAAGATATAAATTTCTTTTATCCATTTCATTTTTGTTTTGGCATTTTTTCTCATCTATTATGCAGTCTGCCACTGTGGCTCTGGTTTTTCGGATACGGTTTGTTCTAAATTGAATATGGGATGGATTTTATTTTGCATATGGATTTTAAGTTATTTCTAAATGCATTGCAATTTATTTATTTCAATCTATAAAAGATGTATGCTTCATACATCATTAGTATATTCTAAAATTAGTATATATCTCATAATTAGTATAATCACAATTCCATTGCTCAATCATTTTAGCTTTGAATGTTTTTTAAAAATAAGATTCTGGAATATTTACATCAACATTAATATCATTTTTAGTTGCATTCTTAGCAAACCAATCAGCTCTCTCGTTTCCATAATTACCCAAGTGACCATGGACAAATGTAAAAAACACTGATATACTCTTCTTTTTCAGATCTCCGAGACTGCTTTAAATTAACAGTATCATTACATATAGAGGTATTTTTAAGGGACTCCAGGGAAGAGAGTGAATCCGTACAGATTAAGTAGCTGGAACCACGTCCATTCTGGCTAATTATCTACTTAATTGCAAAATTAATACACAGAAGCTCAGACATATATACAGTGCATTCATTTCTAATGTGAAATTAGTGATACTCAATTCCAACATCATCTTAAAAAATAACATAAGCAAAACCAACTTTATCATCAATCCTACTACGATCTGTATAGCACACAAGTGAGAATGAATTTACATCAGTGTCCTTACTATCCAGAATCTGCACTGGTTGTCTTACAGAAGAATGTGGAAGAACAGACAAGGGCAATAAACAATCAAAATGAGAAATGGAGCAGTTTGCAAGATTATTTATGTAATCTATATAGGTCAGAATAAACAAATCTAGTGGTGGAAATCCGGCAAGAGAGAAATCAGCATTGAAACTAATAGTTCAGTAACCCCTTATAATTCACAGTAATATTCGTTTTTGAACTCGAAGCAGGTGATTAGGCTAAATTTTCTTTTTTAGAGACAATCCCCAAGCTCTACATCCATATGAAATAAAGGGTACAATGCCTTGTTTATAAATAATTGCGCTAATATTCGATTTAACACTAAAACTATAACATGCAATTTGATTCAGCCCAGGCTGAAGTCTCTCTCATTTATTAGAAATGTAGGAAATATGCTTTTTCCAGTTTAATTTGCTGTTCAACAAAACATCTAAATATTTAATTTTATTCACCCTCTCAAGAGGATTATCATTTAAAAGCAATTGATACCCTTAAGTAGTATTTTTTCTATCAAAAAACATGGTCTTGGATAGTTAAAAAGTTTAACTTAAAATCCATTGACCACTGATAACTGAAATCTAAAATATCTTGGGCAAGATGAAAAGCTTTATGCATTTCTTTTCCTTGAACGCAAATCAACAAATCATCTGCAAAGGCAATGACTTCACAACTAAAGAGACAGAAAGTTTCTGTAAGAGATCATTCATAACAATAATCCAAAGCTTGGGACCAGAAACAGAGCCTTGTGGACATCCTCTCTGAGGTCGACGAGCACTTGAGGTGCCACCCAGAAAATGCTTGATTGTCCTGTCTTTCAGCAAATCAGAAACAACATTAAACACATTATGAGGTATTTTCATTTTTTTTTTAGTAAATTAAGAATAGTAGGCCACCATGCATTATTGAAAGCTCCTTTATTAATATCAAGAAAAATTAAAATAGTGAACAAACCTCTCATCTTGCCCCTCTTTACAATGCTGTTAAGACACCAAAGCATATCCTCAGTATATTTTTGAGCAATGAAACCATATTGGTCAGCACTAAGAATATTTTTTTTTTAGTGTAGATGCCAAGTAATTCTGTTAGTAATTAGTTTTTCAAAACACTTACGTAAAGAAGAAAGAAGACAGATACACCTAAGATTATTCACATGTGGAACATTAAAAGTTTATTTCTTGGGTATCACAATAACGAGGGCATTCTTCCAAATTTGTGGGAAAATATATTAAATAATCTATGAAAAACTGCAGGAAAAAGACGATGAAAGTATCTTATGGTTTCATTGGGAATAGAATCCTGGCCAGGAGCCTTGCCAGCCTTAAATTACGAATTACATCATCATCAACCTCAGCCTGCGAAAAAGGAGGATCAATCTGAGATGCACATTCACTGCAAGCAGATGAGCGCCACTGAGTGTGAAAGTCAGTATCAAACCTCACACAGTCAGGAGGAAATGCTTTATCAAGAATAGCATCGATAGTTTCCTCCAAGCAAAATATAAAGTTACTGCTTGGAAGGCAAAGGCCCGAGATCTCAATCTTCCTCATAAAATTTTCTTTAATACCGTAAGTATAAATTTTTTTCCACACATTCTCATTATTGACGTCTGAAAGAAACTTCCTCCAAGACTTTAATTTGGCCTCAAGAAGCATTTCATTATATTTTTTCCTTAAATCAAGGTATTTCCGCTTATACAAGTCTCGTATATCATTGCTAGAAGTCCTCTGGAACTTCCGTCTAGCAGTGTTAACTCTCTTTCTCACAACAGAAATCTCCAATGACCACCAACGTACTTTTTGCATACCATTCCTTCTTACTAGAAGCAGCCAACTTCTTAGTAGGTTACTTTGCCTACTGGCATAGATTTAATACATGCCCAAAAAATAACTGAAGTTATAAAATCAACAATCACATCAAGTGAGTCAGTACTTGAGCAAGAATCCAAACCATTAATGATCAAAGAAATATACTGTGAACAACAATATTTTTCAAAATATACCCAGTTTACTTTTTTTGTATTAAACAAAAATCTACTGACAGCAATAAAAGAAACAGCAGCTCCCATAATTGTGACATCTATATAGCTTGATCCCAGTTACGAACAAAAGTTAGAGCCACAGTCCTCACTGATCACATATAAGTTATAGGAGCTGACAAAATCTCCAAGCTTGTTTCCTCGAGCATCACTGTAAGGACTAAACCACAGTTCACACTTACTATTGGAATCTATACCCCAAATAAGCTTTACAAGATCCCTAGCCTGGAAGACCCGACTTATTTTTTGTAATAGTCAATACATCGGGAAGGCTCAAAGTAGCAAATATTTAAATAAAAAAATATTTTGTATCTTTAAAAATATTGTCAAGAGTCACCATATTATAATACAAGAATCTCAAATCCAAAAACGTAGGCAGAAATCCGGCTCAAACAGTCTTTATGACTTCTGAATTAAAATCATAGTATAACCTAAAGGAACTCTGAAAGCCAGGCATAAGACCATGATAAGAATAAGGCTCTTAAATAAAAGCAACAGAAACATTATTTACCTCCATATTCAAAACATGTTGCTGAGTTGCTGCCTTAAATTAATTTGAATAAATTTTAAAATATAATTATGACTATTATCCATAATTTGTTCTTGATATATTTTGAATTCTTACAAATTCATGACAAGAGCAACTTTCAGAAAAAGGCAAATGGCTAACATTTAATTTTTTTCTCATCTTTTATTTTTTTATTACATCTAATGGAATTAATACAAACTTTCAAATTCTTATGAGGGCAATTTTTACTTTCACGTTCACATGCACAGAAATAACAAGTGAGGAAGTTTTTAACAAGACATCCTCATTTTGTTATCTCATTATGGACTTTTTTTATTAAGATTGTAGGATTCCTAACGTAAATCAGATTCAAGATTCATTCAATTTATTTTCAGAAGCCACAACATCTGGATTTTGATTTTTTTTAAACTTCAAGGACATCCTCATTTTTTTATCTCATTATGGACATTTTTTATTAAGATCGTAGGAATCCTTCCTCCAGAAGGAAAGGCAGTTAATTCCAATGATTTTACTTGAATTTCAGATTGTAGCCTCTTTAAGTCATTTTCAGGGGGACACTCTATCAATACCTTGCTATTTCTAATGTTTTTTAGATTGAGAACAACCACATTTTTCTCTACAGGATTAATTTGTAATTTTAAGAATCTTTTTAAAATCCTCTGACGAACGGTTTTCTGAAGAAACGACAAGACCACAACTTAAAGAACTCTGTTTCATATTGTCCACAAGAGATGGTAGCACAGCACTAGCATATGTTGGTTTTATGAAAATGTCTTTAAGACTTTCTGTAAAGATCGTGACTTGTAATGATCATGACTCATAAAGATCGTGACTTGTGAAGATCATGACTTGTAAAGATCGTGACTTGTAAAGATCATGACTTGTAAAGATTGTGACTAAAAGAGAACGTGAAATATAAATAATAGGAGAAGTACTTGTATTTTACGGTGTGGCAACAAGAAGAGAATTCGGAAGATTTTTTTTGATATATTTTGTTTGGAGAGTTGAAGATTTTTAGTATTTTAATAGTTGTAAGAATTTTAACTGTAGTACTTAAGAATTTAAAAGTTTGATAGTTAAGAGCTGCAGCATTTATTTTTTTGGTTCTGTTTTAAAATTCAAATAAAAGTATTTTGTTCATTCTGAAAATTTAGCTTTGTTCTTCCTACAAGGTTCAATATCCATTATATTGAAATAAGGAAATGATTTTTACTCTTTCCCTACAAGCTTCACGGTAACCCAACCCAACGACTTAATATGTTTCCCATACATATGTTACATGCTTCCCATAAGTTAATCCCTTTAATACGTTTCCCATAAGTTAAGTCATTGGGTTGGTAACCCAACATCTTAACTTTTTTAGTAATCAAACACTTTAACTCACACACTTCATGCCTTGCCTCTTAGAGAATATTCTGGTTCATATTATACTTTGACTCAATAGCCGTTTCAAGTTTATCATAGCAACATTTAAGCACACTATAAAACACATCGCCGTCCTCTTCGTCCATTCTGGCATTCCTAAGACTAGGTTATCATTGTATTAAACATAGCCAAAGTTATTCCAGTTTAGATTATGGAAATAAAATCTAAATTATAGTAATGCTTGCTAAAAGTGTTTTTAAAGTGTAAGAAATTTTCTAGAAATTCTGAGAAAATGAGCATCCCCCCCAATTAATGTTCCACACAAGGTAGCAGAAAAACGTTTCCTATTTAAGCAAAACATTTTGATGTTTTGATATTAAAAAAAAGGATAGAAAATAAAATTCTAAATTTTCTAAAAAATTCTCATGAAGTTCTATCAGCAATTTTTAATAATTGAAGCAAAACATATAAAACTATTCAATCAGTTTTAGAAGTGCTGATAATACAAATGCTAAATAAGATATATATATTCAATACACATATTGCTTAAATGCAAAAGTAATAAAATTGTGAAAGCCAATTGCTCAACTCACATACTACATAAAGCTACAAACTTTGCTTTGGAAAATTTGGACACTGGTTTGAAATTATAGTATTTATGACACAGAACCATTTTTTAGTGTTTGAAACAGATGACAATAGTTTAAACCTTTTTAATGAATTTGAAGCTTTAGAATGAGTGAAATTTTATGGCTTATATCAACAAGATGGTTAAAATAGACAAATAGAAAACTACAATGCTATTATTAGCTAATTGAGGAGCACTGATTATAGCCCAATTTTTAAAATTATTTTTACTCATACAGGTTGGTTCAAAACTATATGAGTAAAAATAATTTTTATTAATTAAACTATATGTCAAAAATTTAAAGGCAGGTAGAGGGGACCTGAATAAGCAGATTTTGTATAGGAATGCGTGCATGGTAATACCGCATTAAAGCGCTAGCATGTAAAGCAGTATGAATCATAGGAAACTGAAAAGACAAGTAAAGACAAAAAAAAAAAAAAAAAAAAATAACAGTTTACAATATGTTCTTGAAACAGCGGCCACCAACAGTGATACAAGATTCACAGTAACAGCCCATGGATCGGCGTACATTAGAAAAGATGTCCATGTCCAGCAGCAACAAGATCTTCTGTAGATGGGGCTGGACTCTTGGGTATACAAGTCCTTCAATATGACACCAAAAGAAGAAATCCAAGCAGGTTACATCAGGAGAATGTGGTGGCCTGGGAACTGGCCCTCCCCGTTCTATCCAATGCTAGCTGTAGATAGCATCCAGGTGATTCCTGACATTCCAGCTGAAGTGAGCTGAGGTTCCATTGTGCTGGAACCACATTCATCTGCGAACAGCTGGAGGAACATCGACCAAAAGTTCAGGTATTGTAGAATCGCTCCCTTATACATTCTTTGAGCAGCTAATATGTTTCCTTGTTCAGTCCCATACATGAAATGCATATTGGCAAGCTCCACATTGGTGTAACGATGCACGTTGCTTGAGATCCGTGAGAAAAATGAAGAATGCAGCTAACGCAGAGCTTTTATACATCGTACTCTTCAGTGCTCTCTACTGGTTCAACACAGCATTACCACACACACATTCCTATATGAAATCTGCCTATTTAGGTCCCGTCTACCTGCCTTTACATTTTTGACATATAGTTTTGAACCACCCTGTATATTGCATTTTTAGGTATAATTTGGTATTTATATTTTTCATGTGCATTGTTAGGTTATTACACTGTACCTAGGAAAAATATAGCTTCTGCTTATTAAAAAAAGAATAAATATCTAAAATGTTGGGAAAATTTATTTTTTATTTAAACTATGACATTCCATCCTTTTTTTTTTTTCTTTCCATACATAACGTAATCATACAAGAGGAAAAAATACATTACAGGAGTCATTCAGTGGTGAGAATTAACTGTAAATCCCCCAGAATATACTAGTGAAAAAAGAAAAAAAAATAATGCGAAAACTTCTCGGTCTTAAATTTGCTTACAGAATGTATGAGAAAACATCCTTATTTACGTGTTCATGATAAATCAAATCTATCAGACAAATCAATGTTTATGCAAACTGATTTTGTGACTGCAAATAAAATATGACTCGTTTAAGGAATTCTCAGTCTGCTTTAACAAGAAATGTTAAACATTAGAATATATAACCTTTTGTTCAAATGACTAAACCAACATATTGCAATATGTCTGTATTATTACCACCAGAGAAATTTACTTTTTATATACATGATTTTATTCATACATAGTAAATAACTTCTGTTTCACTTTTTTTTTAAAGATCATGTATTCCAAACTGCAAGCACACGGTTTCTACAAAACCATATATGACATATATTTGGGAGGGGGGGGATTGTAAAAATTGTTGGCCTAACAAAATAATGCAAATCTGTTGGTTGTTGAAAATGTACAGAAGATTAGCATCTTATTATATACTGAACAGATAACTGTGTTATTCTGATTATGAATCAGCTTACATGATGTTTTTAAATAAATCCTTCTACATCAGAATAAAAATAAATTAAAGATTACTATGTATGGCATACTTAGGAAATGGGTTAGGAACATTGAATCGCTTGCATAGCAGAGATGCAGGATGCCATTCAATAGATTTTCGATTGCAAGAGCCTACCAGTTTTCTGTTTTCTACTGTTGGTTTTATTTCTTTATCCTTTCATAACAAATAAATAAAATAAAAAACGAATTAGACACAAAATGCAAACATATACATACAAATATAGAACAGAATGTCACAAAAAGTTATATATTAAACATAAAAATAAAACAATATTAATAAAGTGTACAGTTGATATAGAATATCATAGTTCAATTTGTGAATAGAAAACACTGAAAGCTTTTGAACAGCTATAGATGCATATTCATAATACATTTATTTAAAAAATCAAGCTGTTGAATAGTTATGAACATATATTGGTATTACCTTAGACAAGACATACCGATTTATTATTCATTTATTGTTATCAAAACAGCTCTTTATAGCTATTTTTCTTAAACATACTTTCTAAATAACACTTCTCATATTTCTTTTCTGAAGTATTTTTTCTTTTTTGAAATAACAACTTGTTTGTAAAAGTATCCACGTTTCTTATTCTAGACCACTAATTATAACTGAAGGACAATAGGCATACAATAAATAGTAAATGTAATTACTACATCATCAGTTTACATTAACTAATATTCAAAGGCAATTAGAAATCAAAAATACAGTATGATCTGAGTTTCTGTTTTAGAATCTCTCTACCATTACATGAAATATGCAATAATTTATAACAAATAGAGATGTACACATGCAGAGGAAACAGATAAAAGTCCCTTTTTACAAAACCTTTTTATTTTTTTAATTCTTTCTATTTAATGAATATATCAGGCATTTTGCAGTTTCATATGAAAGTAACATCAATTTTTTAAACAAATAAATTGACATGAATAAATCTATATAGAAACAGACATATTCAGATTAAATACTTAACATTTAAATTATTTTTCAATTAAAAGTTTAATTTCAAAGAAACTGTATGCTTAACTTTGGTATGAGTAATTTGGATCCATGCCCTTTTCATTTATAGATGGGCATATGGCAGCTGAGCTCTGAAACCAGAAGCAAGCTTAATGGAATTTCTACTGAAAATCTAGATTTGAGCTAATTTCCTTTTAAACTGAATTTCACAATGATCTCATTGTGTTTTTTATGAACCCTTTCTATTTTTCAGGGTAGAATATACAATGTTTTGAAATGCTAATTTAGCCCAAAGGCAGAATATACAATGTTTTGGAATGCTCATTTAGCCTTACAGCCTCTCAAATTTATTAAAGCAGCATTACAAAGCACATCATATCTGCAATCTGAATAACCAGGAGGTTCACCAGCCAAAAATAAATATATAAAAATATATATATAAAGATATAAAATAAATGATATAAAAGAAGTTTTTCATTGTGATGACAATGTTTCTCAATCATCAATCAATTAATGAATGGCAAAATCTGTAGTATGGTTCTAGATCTAGAAAATACAGCTACTGATTTACAGAGTTCGTACACATTTCTGCTCATGGAAATTAAGTACTTTACTGAACATTACTGAAAAAAATTAAGGACCTATGAGCAAATAGCAAATTAATAAATTCAATTAAAATATTATCTGTGCCTGAACTTCACTTTTGTAATACCACGCAAAAACAAAATAGATCCGTAAATAGGATGCATTATTATTAAACATAACTTAATTAACATAATTATTAATTAGTTTGAGCATAAAATATACTTTATGAAATTAAAAAAAAAAGCATTAAGTATTTTAGACTTACAATAGTTCAGTACATTTGAAAGAAGATAAGTAACATTTTATTTACATTATAACATTATTACATTTTACTAATAGTTAGTTTCATGTTGATTTTTTTTTATGTCTCATTACTTGCTCAATCTAGAGGTTTAGTAAATAGCAGGTAGATTTTATGTCAAGTGTTGTAGTTTAAAATGAGAAGTAAAATCACAATCAGAATGATTTATAACAAAAGACTGGCTGTTGTCACCACTGCTCCTTACCTAGAGAGAGACCTGCTGATCAGAACAAAACTGAGAGGCCTGTTGTGGGCACGGTTAGCTAGTTTTGAATGTTAGTTGGGCTCTGTCTGTTGCGGTTAGTGTCGTAGCTCCATGTAGAGTTTCAGGGGTTGTAACTAAGTTAATATACTTTAAGGTTCCAATAAGCCACTAAAGCACCAGAGGTGACACTAAGTTGCTTTTGTATTATTTTAGGTCTAACTAGATACTATGAATAAGTTTTATATGAATTTTTACATTTTTGTGTTTGTGTCACGCTAAGGAATAATGAAAGGCAATAACTCACTTCATTATGCAGAGATAATTTTTAAGAATAAGCAGTTAGTTATAAATTAAATTTGGTAGTTAGAAAACCTTATTCATTATGGATTTACATAATTTACTATTAAATTTTACTTATTTTTTAACAATATTGTTAAAAGTCCCTATTAAAATCACAGTCTAATAAAATTTCACACTTTAAAATACAAGCAATTTATGTCATTGATTCTTAAACGATATTAGGATAATTATACATTAAAAGCTACAAAACATTTATGTTTTGTAGCAACAACACTGAACAAAATATTTATGCATCTTTTTAATTTGAAGCCTTCCCATTCATTTTGGCTTAATTTATATCAATTTTCTTCTCTTTAAACATCTTTCCTAACAATTAAAAATCTGTTTGAATACACAAACCAATGTTCTGACTAATTTCTGCATACTTTATCTCCTAAGTTGTCAACCTATCCACAATGTACCTATCAGGGTCAATGTTCCTTTTTACCTTCTTCGGGAACATGCAAGGACCTGACTCGGAACAGAGAGCTTACTAAAGCTATGTTCACTAATTGTGGGAAGTAGACAGGATACACAAGAAGGGTATACAAAACCCTTTATTTTTCTCTATTTACAAAAACTTCCGTACTTCGGAATACACAGACCCACTACTCGGGGTCTAACGTAAAAATATAAAAAATAAAACTAAACTCTAATTTAACTTTAAAATAATAAACGTGGAAGACTGGCCTTATATTAACAGGAGGCGTATGTAGTACAGAGAACTGTGAACACTACAATATGTTTAAATTTATCCAGAGGATTAAAACCTCTGGCCTGAAAGGCAACAAGCAACTGTGTAACTTCTAAGGTAAGCGGCCTGCTTCGACTCACTGCTTCCTCTCTCTCGCTTGGCAAAAAGCCACAACTTAAATACTTGGCATTCGCCAGACAAACTTTGCATAAAAACCTTAACGCTTATAATTCTGGCCGGAAGTAGAAAATAAGAAGTGATAGTAAAGATTTAAAATAAAATAAACGTTAGTAAAACTTAAGATCCTTACATACCTATGAGGGTTTAATTGATCTAGTAAAAGTTAAATAGTCTAAAAACTTCCGACAGACATGAATCTTATCGCTATGTCTCAAAAGTAGCTACAAAGTCAGACAAATGTTTAAATAAGCCTCTTATTTAAAAAGAACTTAAAGGCATGTTCTTATGCTAACCAATTCAATTGCAGTTTGTGGAGATGTAAGTAAACAAGAACAATCGAATTCAAACAAAAAAAATGTGGACTAGTGGTCAAAGACTATACAATTTAATTTTAATTGAAACTGGCTCAGTAACTCTATCGTCATAACAAATTCAAATGTCAGCAGCAATAATGCGAAGACAAAAAGTTGCAAATTATCAGAGCTGGCAGGAACTAATGCAACGAGCAAGCAGAGATTAAAAACACATACTGTCTTACACACCAAAAACCTCAGTTTAAAAACTGCCTAAGCGATTTGCATTCTGGGGAGGAAATAGAAACGGGAAATTATAGTAAAAACTGAAATTATAAACAACTGGGTAATTTACATAATAATACCTGCATATATATATTTGAAGAATAATTTTCTTTCTTTATATGTACTCAGTTTCTTTCTTCAACACGCTTCCTTTCCATTTAAGAATTTTTGGATTTAATTAAAGATTTCTGTTATTTTAAAAAACTAAGAAATTATGTATAGAAAGAATGTATACAAAAAGCTGCTAATTTTATTTCTTTAGTAATATGAACATTCAGGAGAAATAGGAAATATATATGGTAAGGGCCGTTACAGAGCTAGTGTGGCATAGTGACACATTGAGCAACAAAATGTAGAAATGGCAAAACTTTTAGAATTTAGAGCAGGCACTGGAAGCAGAATTTAGAAAGGCACTAGTCAGCAAAATTTAGGATCTACAGAGATAAGTTTAATATTCCATGTGATTGCACCAGTTGGGAAAATACCTAGCGTCAGACCTATGTATGATGCATTAAGACATATTAGATGAATCTTTTAAATTGCCAGTTTTCAATTTCTTTATTAATAAAAAAAAATTCCTTTCTATAATGCCTGTCCATGTGAAAAGATTAGAAAGCATTTTTAATATTTTTCATACTTGTGTCTAGTGAAAAGTTAGAAGAAAATAAAGGGAAGATAAAGCATGTTAAGAAAAAGACTTTCTAGTACCAGAAGTAAAGCATTCAAATATTATGTTTTCATTATTCTTCCAGATGTTCTCCAAAAAGTAAGAAATTCATTGCAAACTTTCTGCAAAATACATCCATTACGTGTTAATACCACAGAGACGTTTTTCATTTTGTCATTTTCTAAAATCTTCTGGAATGGTGGGTCTATAAATCTTGCTTTCAAATCCTTCTTAACTTTCCAAGTTGCAATGTCTAATGTCCGGAAGAAAAATTACATCTACAAATTTTGTAACAGCAAACAGCCAGAAATATTTTTAAAAAAATGAGATGGAAAAAGTGTGAAATTAATTTTATAGAGAAAATTGATGCATATTCTGAGAATTCTGAACACTCATAGACAATTACACGAGAAAACTCTTATCATGAAAAAATTAAAAAGAAGATATTTTTTAATTAATATGTTTTTTTAATATAATTTCAATATATTACCATTATTTTAATGATATTTATCAATGTTAGAATGTTTAAAAAAATCGTCGAAAAATTCCCAAATCATGGAAATTAAAATTTTCTATAGAAACCGATCTTAAAAATCGCCAAAATGTTGATAAGTCGCCAAATTTAGAGCTGTTCAATAAAAGAA